CTGAGCCTGGTTCTGTCGGAGGTTTCTTCCTGTTAAAAGGGAGTTTTTCCTTCCCACTGTCTTCCATGTCGCTGCATGGAAGGCAGAGGATCAGCCCTCCGCTTTTGCCTAGCAGCCTGGGGTGGGGCACAGAGGTGGCTGCATCGCAAATCAATATAGGGGGAAGCGTGGCTGCTGGACATTATTGTCCTGGAGCAATTTTCAGAGGGGCTCCTGGAAGGAACAGCAGATTTGGCCAGATGTCACCGGCCAGCGAATTTGGAGGTGGCAGTGGCTCTGGCTGAGGACCACCAGGCAGCTAGAGGTCCTGGTGGGAAAGTCAGCCAGTCCCTGCCCCAAGGAGGAGGCTTCTCGGCCTTGTCCCAGCCACACTAACAATTGCAGAACACCAGCTGCGATCTAATACCCAGCCCACTGGGGGCTGCACAGGCTTTGGGGCAGGAGTTCCTTGTTACCTGGGCTTCAATGATCTACCCTGGTCTGGGAGAAATGTACAGCATTCCAATGAGAGGGAATACACCAGGCTATGGCTGGTGACCAGGGTCTGCATGTAGAATTTTCGTGCTGCTGGATTAAAATTGAGTTGATGGAGTCGACGCTGGATCAGCCAGAGCTGAACGCTCCAGAAAGGCTGGAGTTTAAATGAACGAACGAACCAGAAAACAAGGGTAAAAAGGAGTCTTTAATAGCAATTAAACCATATAAAAATTTTTACGTACAAGTAAAAATATAAGGACACATTTAGGAACAGTTTGAGTTTCTTCCTTAGACGAACAAAGTCCTCAGAGTCAGGAAACATCCAGTTCTGTGTAAATAAAGCCGTCCGATCCCGGTCTGACATTTCTGATGTTTGTAACGTTTCTTATTGACTGCTTCCATCATTTTAATGTACTTTTAGTCATTCATTTAACTATTCCTCATTCTTACTGTTATTTATGTGTTGATCTTTCTCATTTTGTGATATTTCAGTTTTACTGACTGATGCTGAAAATCAGGAGAATGTAGGAAAATAAAGACTGACCTGAACATCTCATCTCTTAAAAAATACAAAAGCACAGTAATCATCTTACTGAGTGATCTTCATTGTACATTGTTTTTAGGCCGCTTCATTCCAGCAAAAGTTTCAACGTGCGTATAAACATGAAAGACGTGTTTTTACAGATTTTAAAATTTTAAAAAATGAACGAGTTTTTGACAGTAAATAGTGAATAGACACAAATGTTGCTCCCTGATGTATCCGTAAAAAAAATATTTAATTGATAAAGAACAACTGTATTTATGTGGCTATATTTAGTAGAAAGCCAATATAAAATGTTTAGTGACGTGCTTAAAAGGGAATTAAAAAAAAACACACAAAACAATGATTAAAGCAGGATATTAAAGATTAAAAAGTATAAAATTCTCCAGTTTATCTTCAAAGCAGTCGTCAAAACTTCTTAAAATGTGAGAAACATGGCAGTAATAGATGCAGGTCATGATGTTCCTCAGTAACTTCTAACCTTGGAAACTTTTCTCATTCAGGCTTCACTCCAAACCAGACTGAGCATCGACCACAAGAACAAAAGACAGAAGATAACAGAGTTCATATGGTGTTAA